GGCGGGAGGGGGGAGGGGTGCCACCATGTTCCCTTTGGCTTTGTCTGTTGCCTCAGTAAGGCATCAGCCTGTGCAAGCAGCGCGTTGCCAAAACCCAGGCCACATCACAGCAGTACCCCAGTAGCAGCAACACATTGGCAAGGATGGTGAAGGCACCGAGCGGGATGAAACAACAAGAGCACGGAAACGAGCGATAGCAAGGAAGCAGTCCATGCCTCCCGATAGTTCTCGATCTACATAGTTTTCAGCTGGCGTTTTCTTATCATTGGTATCACGGTTGTCTGCTGCTCCACCGCGCTTCACTTCTGGAAAAGCATAAGATGGTCTGCACCACGGGCGTTCCCTCACGATCTGTAACAGGAACCACTGGCAAGCCCAAGGGTGTCGCCTACAGCCATCGATCCACTTTTCTGTCTCGGCCTTGGCAGCATTTTTACATGAGGGCGCGGTATGGGCCTACTGAGAAGCCTAGTATGCGCCAAGACGTGCCGCACTTGGCGCAGAGGCATGTCTGAGAGAGCCGTGGTGAGGCACACGCTGATGATGGTTGGAGCCGACCAGCTTTGCCTTCGTGGATATGAGGCAACAAGAAGACATGCCAGAATCCAAACCTCAGCGCATCCAGTTGCGTCGATGTGGAAGGTTGTGCTCCCTTTCGTGCCGATGTTCCATGTGCTGAGCTGGGGAACACCCTTTGCCATGCTCATGATTGGCCTCCCCGCTGCAAACTGGTCGCAGCGCAAAGTCTTGAAAATCAGCCTTGCGGCAAGAGGTGCGCGAGCAATCTTTACATCCAGATATATGGATCCTGCAACGTTGGTGAAGATGATGACGGATTGGAAGGCTCGATCATTGCTCGGAGCTTTGCTCGCTCCAAACACTTCTGCCGCGCGCCTCCAGGTAGACATCTCGCTTGGCGTGCCCACTGTCTGGCAAGGTGTCAAAGCTCACATCGAGCTGCTTGATCGAACCCGAGAATCTCCCTACCTGCCGCTTCCTCACCCGTTCTTCAGGCAGCAAGGCGTGGAGAAGATCCGTCAAGGCCTGACCTTGAAGAGGCTTACCTGTGGCGGAAGTGCACCGCAGCCTGCGCTGATGCGGTGGTTCTACGACATGTTCCTCGGAGTGCAAAGGTCAGTGAAGATCTGTATGAATCTTCTTTCGGGGGGACTCTTGCCAAATCAATGCGACTGCTGCTCTGAGGCTTGGGGTGGAGTTCCTGCAAGGCCTGGTCCACGCATATGCAGTTGTAGCGAAAGCACAGAGACCAAGGTTGGGGCATGACAGAGACCAACCCGATGGGTTCCTTTGGGATCAGAGTGGCCAGGCTGATTCAGCACATGGGGCAGAAATGTCTCGGCTGATGTGGGCTTCGCAGGAGAAGCAGCCTCTGAAGAATGTTGGTCCAAACCAGCATGATTCAGCTGCGCAAACAAGACTGAGGCCACAGATTTCCAACACTGCCACAACAACGGCCTGGGCCTACACAGAGACAACGACAAAACCCCGAGACCAACCACCCTTGACGTGACAACAGACAACACGAGAAGACCAGCAACGCCGCGCTCGCGCCGTATCTTGTGCAAAATAGATTGCAAAATAGATTGAAAACGAATTGGACACTGCAACACCGAAGCCAAAGATCCCACAAGCCCTTCAGCGCCATGATTGCCTTTAGACTTGTTGCTGCTGTCTCCCAAAACTGTCGCTTTTCTCGAGCCCGAACTCGTCTGTCGATGCAAGATAGCATGTCCTCGCAGCTGTCCAGTCAGAAGGCACCAAAACCCGAAGTAAGAACGACAGGTTCGAAGCCGAATTATGCTGTATCCCACATGAGCAGAGGAGGAGGCCGAATGAGGCCGATCGCCTGAATCCTTGCCTGGTTTGTCGGGCTTTGAGAGTCGAAACAAGAAGTCTAAATTCAAATCTAAACGAAGCGCAAGCCCTGAAACACTGAACACCCTAAGCCTGGCTTCTTGCAGCGCCTGCTTCAAAAGCTCCGAACGCCCGGAACCTGAAGCCCTCAAAGCCCGAAACTCATAACCCCAGAAAGAATCGCAAACCTGTAAATCCTGAACCCTGCGCTACCTAATTACCCGCAGACGCGCTTGCACATAAACGCGAAAGGATTGAAGCCGCAGAAACCCTAAACCCGAAAATGCATAAGCAAAAGAACCTAGACTCCAGAGCCCCCATTGAACCTGCAGAAAGCTTTGGACATCGAGAGCTCAAGCCAAAGAAGGAGCAACCGTGAGCCCTACACCGTGAAAGCCTCAAAATTCGTCTGCCCTGCATGTCTGCAGAACCGAAATCCCGAGAATCCCTGCTTCGTACGAGGCGAAATCCAAAGACCTGGAAACCCGAAAGCGTAAATCCCAAAACCCTTACGTGTCGTTACATCAATCCAGCAACCCTCGCCCTCAAGAGCCTCAAAGCCCCAAGCTTGTATCCCCAATATCTACAAAATCCATAAACCGTAAAACCGGAAGCCGAAGACTGTAACCGAAACCCCAAAACCCAGAGCAATGCTGAACCACATCTGTCAGGTCGGAAAGCAGGAAGCACTTATTAGCAGTCACGAAACCCAAAGCTCGAATTGACGAGTGGGGCCCGAAGACTTTTCACAAAAAGAAAAAAATCCGGTGCAAGCCAAGACAGAGCCATTCCCGGATCCAAGGTTGCAAAGCATGCTGACAAAGACAAGAGTGTGGATGACACCTTCAGGAACGATGCGGCCTCAGCTCACGACAGCTCCCAGCAGTGGACCGTGCCTCAGATCGTGTTGTGAGGTTGTCAAGGCCGGTCTTCCACTTCCCGGAGTTCAAGTGCGAATAGCTGCTCGGCCTCGTCTCAGTGGGCACTACACTTGGCTGCCGATGGCAGATGGTTTCCAGGCCAACCCTGACAACCTCGATGCCGACATGCCGCGGGATCAGCCCGGCGAGTTGCTGGTACGGGGACCGTGGATCATTCAGGACACGTGTGTGCTTGTATGGTCAACTTGCTCCACCAACATGGGAGCATGGGCCCACGGTATGCTGCCTGAGCGTTCATCGAGCGAAACGGTGGTCTGACAGTATGACAACCTTAGGGCATCTCGATTGTCCAAGGCCGAAGACTTGAGTAGGCCCGCGAGAGCGTGAGCTGATGTGAGCTGTAGGTGGGTGGGCGAATGGTGGAAACGAGAGAGCGAGTGGTCGGGCGGATGTCCACATTGTGTTCTTGCATAAGCTCGAAACTCGACAACATGCTGTGGTGGGCGATGTTGAAGCCAAGCTTTAGAACGCGAGAATACGCTTCAGAGCTCTACATCCGTGAACTGCAAAATACCACCAAGACGACATCGCAACAAACTCAGCGAAAAGAAAGGGCAAACCATGTTAAGCTAACCCGCTTGTGGCTGCTTCAGCCCGGCCCGGTCAGTATCCCGCCTGCCTAGTCCGAGCTGCGAGAGTCCAAAGAAGGATGCGCAGCGTAAGGGACTTACGATTTCAAGAGGCGCAGTGCCTTTGACCAGTGTTCAGCCGCAGTTTCCACGAATTCCCCTGCCAGGAATACTTCCAAGTGGATGCACCAGACAAGTTCCACAACGGTTGGCTTATCACTGGAGATGTAGCAAAAGTTGATGAAGAGGGAGCTATTGTCATTAGCGATCGCTCCAAAGATGTTGGCTTGGCTGAGTTATAGAGGATTTGAAGCCTTTACTGTAGTTTCTGGGCTCGCAGCCACAGACATCATGTCCAAGGTTGTGAAATCAGGAGGTGAGTGGATTTCTTCGATAGATATGGAGAACATGAACCTTGACACGATTCAGCAAGGGGCACTTTAATCTGTCTGAGCGAAATGGTGTGACGGCGCCAAGGATCATGGCCATGCCTGACATCGACATTGCCGCTGTGGTAGCTGTCCCTCATGCCCGATGGGACGAACGGCCAGTAGCTGCACACTGCCCAGCCACACCAAACTGCTTGCCGTTTGCTCCTGCAGATCCTGACCTAGCATTACATGTTCCCACCTTCCACAACTGGCTGAGGTGGTGACACTAGCGAAGGACAGCAGTGCAGAGAATCTCTTAGACCGTGTGAGACAACACCTTTCTTCCGCCTTCGCCAAGTTCCAACTTCCAGATGACGTCCTAGCCTCTTGCCTAATGTGTACGTCACTCCGTGCTTTCTTTCGTTTCGAAGTCAGAGCGAAACAGCTTCTTTGTGCCCACACTCTTGCAAGGTGTGGGACGCGATTCCGATGACAACAACCGGGAAGCTCGATAAGAAAGTGATCCGAGGAAAGCTTAGCGAAGCGAACTACGTTCTGCCGTCGGAGCGATCTCCGCAATCGAAGCTTTGACCATTTTTCCGTGCCAGTTCGTGCTAGTGGCTGCATTTAGCAGCGCTGTGAAAATCGCAGCCGACTCTAGGCGCTTAGAGTTGTACTTCGAGCTTGGACATAAAAGAAAAGACTGGCCGTCTGTGCTTTCCACAACTGCGCTGACTTCGGCAAGTGCAAACACATCTTGCGGAGGCTCGTGAAGACAGCACAGCGTGGTGGGCAGAGCTCGTCGAGAACGGCAAGCGACCGATCAATGCCTCGCCAGAGTTCCACGGTTCTATGACTAGAAATGGGAGAAGTTGTGTTCGAAAAGATTTGGCATGCCAGTTCCCTGCGGTTGGGCGAGAGAAGGTCCTATGCGCCGTCACAAGCCCAATTCTCCACTCGGACAGCTGGCCCATGTCAGCAACTTCTTACACTGCCATGGAGACTTTGGCGACCCGCCTGTGTTAGTGCTCGCTCGGACTATTTTGTGGTTGGCGGGGAGTGCAGGCTATTGAATGTTTTCAAAACATGCCAAGTTGCTACCGAGGCGAGGTGTGTCGCGGGCCGCAAATTTAAGATGCTTATGGCTGCGTCGAAAAAGTCGGAAATCCTCGTCTTGTTCAACATGGAAGCTGACCTAAGTTGCCGTCATTTGCCAGTTGTCCGACTGGGTGCCCGATAGCGAGGCTTGAGCTCTGCAGAGAAAGAGCAGTGAACGCCAAGCCAGCCAGCTGCCCGTGCAAGGAGTTTAAGCATGAGGGAACTGCGGCTACAACAAGATGAGCCAACGTCCAGAAAGGAGAGTCTTGTTTTTTCAGATGCTCTCAGATTCCTGGATGGAAGTCGCACGGAGGAGAAATTGACAATGCACGGACGCAAGAGTAGCTTTTTGACTAGTTTTCTGTGGCTTTGAGGGCAGCCCCAGGCTCCGTACTACATCGGCTAATGTATGAGCGGGGGCGGCATAGGTTCCTGGGACTGGAACTCCGGCTGTAAGCCTAGATTTTGGGCACGACTTTCTTTTGAGGGCAGAACAGCGGCGAGGCTGCGAAGCCGTGTTGAGTCTCCTGCACAGCCAAAGCCCAGCTTGTTCGGCTCTTCCGCAAAGCTGTAATTTTGCACCCTAGCTGCCCCGGTCGGCGTGAATCTACTTCTGAGCGACTACCGCATGGGTCAACAAGTGTCCGGTTGACAATCAGGAGCTCCCTGAGAAGCATCTGCAGCGCCGAGTGGGAAGCATATTGGGTTCAGGGTGCATCCTTAAGCTGTTTTTGCAAGTGTCGGGTGGCAGCTTCTTCGGACCGAAGATGTGCAGGATCGGATAGTGACCGCTTTGTGACATGCAACTCCCGAGCTTTATGTGGGATCAACAATTCACGACTCCTGCAATCAATGGATGTCAGTGCATGCGGCCTCTCATGGCCACATTGCTGAATGCTATCGGTGCGGCTTTCGGCCCTCTGCCCACGCTGCCGTCCTGCTGGTACGATGCGGAGCAGTGTCTGCAGTCGATGCCTTGGAAAGAGCGCCAGATGAACGGCTGCTTTACCTTCGAGTGCTCTTACAGCAGAAATTCGGAGGTCTATAGTTGTCAATCGATAGTCGGTGTTACATAGCAGGCCCGAAGAGATCGGTTGTTTGGCAGGTTGTGCTGCATCTTCGACGGACATCTTGGAGAGAGATGCTGGCTTCCTGGTTCCTTGTACACCTATGAGCATTGCTGTTCGCTGGCGATTGGTTCTGACAATCAGACCCTCGGCAATGGTCAGCGAAGCGTAGTCGTAGTCGTAGTTCTGTTTAAGACGCTACTCAGTCCGTGTGTGTGTGTGTCGTCTTTAGGACTTTAGGGCATGAAAGATTCTGCACATGTTGGCGCATGATTCCAGCATTGCATCCGCTTACTCCCTCTGCTAGCAGAGGCGTCACATCCCGTTCTGGCACTCCAAGCAAGTGCTGGTGAAGCTTGAAGAACAATTTGCAGAATCTGCAGCCTACAGGGAAAGAGGCCAGCTCATGTAGACATGTAGACATGATGTGTGTCTAAGAGTCTAAGCGACTCTGAGCGGAAAAAATGCACTTGCGCCTGAGGCCGCATCCTGACACTTGACCAGGATGCTGCCAGCCGAGTTTGTTGAAGGTTCCACCTGTCCCGTTGGTGCCGGTTTGGTTCGTGCAAGTCGTAAGGTACCTGGCACCTTTGAGGGGGAATGGCAGATTTATCAACCACAAAACGTGCCACGGCGAGGAAGCCGCATTAACATGCGATAAGATGTTGTCAGAGCAATGAGCAAGGTACCCTTGGTGCTGTGGGAGTCTGGCTACCTGATGATGCGCTGGCTGGAACATAAAGCCATGACTTCTGGGGTGTTCAGATCCTTGGCCTTCAATTTTAGCATGCACATCGTCAGGAAGCTGGCAGGTTTGCAAGCCTTGATCAGATTGCAAGGAGGCAGCCGTGTCCTCGAGCTGGGTGCCGGCATCGGTCTTGCCGCTATTACAGCCACGCTTGCTGGAGCAAAGGTGGTGGCGACAGATGGCTCTAGTGACACACGATGATTCAGAAATGTTCCTTCTGCTGTAGGGCTGTCTCCGGTTTCTAACGAGTTGTTTTTTTCCGATAAAGGCAACACTGCTAGGTCCAGGGATACTTCGGTGCCCATCGTTTCGTCTTAAGTTCAGGTCTTCGGATGAATGTAGTTATTTCTGAGAGGCAAATTGTGACAAGCGTGTCGACTTAGGCGAGGCCGTTCAGCTGATGCAGAGGACAGAACTTTGGCCTTGCAGCTTAGAGGTTGTGCTAGGGAAGAGGAAGCAGAATACTTCTTGGGTGTTTGGCCGTGGGCAGCAGGCTAGATTTTGCGTCTATTGCTTGGATTGCTCGCCTTCTTGCAGATATCAACCTCTGCTTGAACAGTCTCTGGGAATTAAAGTTAAAGGATAAAGGAAGCTGCCAGTTTTTTGTTGGCAGCCTAAAAAACTTCTGCGGATATCATGCTGAAGCAATGGGGACCGACACACCACGGTCCCAACCGCCGATGCAGCGGCATTCGCGGCTCCTAGGGTCAAGCACGGTCAGTGTCTGTGGGCGTCCATGCCCCCCCCTTTAGCCCCGGAAGTCCTTGGAGTCCGCGACCTGCTCTGCCCTGAGGGAATGGGGGAGGGGATGGGGGATGGCACTCTTGCTCGACGCATCGTTGCGGACACAGTGGCTCGGGACATCGTTACACATCGAGTTGCATGTGAATTCTGGGGCCATCCTGCAGGCTGCGGTTCTGTGCTTGAAGAGGGGGGACTCAGAGAACCGCTACAGTTTTGAAGACAGTGAGACTTCAGTTGCTGGGAGCCATGCAAGCATATATAGAACCAGCTGTTTCGATGCAAGACTGGGGTAACATGCCTGGGCAGTGTCATCGGCTACAAGTGTGCGAACACGCCACGCATGGGAGGGAGTGTGGGGGTGCGCCTGAACAGAGAGAGCGAGAGAAAGAGAGAAATGGGCGGGCCAATGGCCTGAGGGTCGGGCGACTGACCCCTACGCCCGGGAGAGAGAGTAGCCATTTTGGCTCAAGCGGTACAAGAAGGTCCGAGACGAGAGTGATCAGGACCTCAACCCGGCCGACTGAGGGGAGAGCCATTGTGCCTGCTCAGAGTGCCATCGAGCTCAACGGGAGCAACGCAGCCCTACGCGACCTGATCGAGCGGGTTCTGTACCGCGACATCGTGAGTTCGGACGGAGGCGTGGCCCTTGATAGCAAGCTGCTTGGTTTCGGCCCCCGTTTGCACGATGCGACCCCGTGCTTGTGCTGGCGCGCTGAGAGCTCTTGGATGTTGGTCAGGGTCCGCTGCAGCTGTTGGTGACCCCGCACTCCACATCCTCGATACGCCTGTTTACTTGGGTGATCGCCTCCGCGATCTCGTCACGACCGGGCTCAGTTGGCTCTGCTTGAAGCTTGCTGGGGGCCCCAGTCCGCTAAGGAAAAGCAGAGGTTTCAGGACAGTGCAAAGAGGGCGGAGCGCCTTCACTGCCTACCGGTGAGTCTCGCGCTCAAGAGACAAGTGGCCGCTTGTGCCATTGCTCCTAAGGAGTCTTGATTGGGCGTGTGCCACTTGCCTCCGAGGTCCAGGCTTATGCCGTTGCACACAATAATGCGGTCAAGAGCTCTGCGCTCAAGAAGGGTCGTGCCAGCGTCCACCTTCGACAGATGGCTTTCCTCTTGTTTTCTTGGCACGGTGGGCTAGGCTGAGGGCAGTTGGGCTCCTTTTGTCGTTGCGGACTCTCAGAATGCTGCTCTTCACAAGCTGCGTACTAGTTGGCGTACGAAGCAGCTTCGTGAATGGAGGGACAGCCAGAGGCCTCATCCGTCTTGATCCCTCCAGTGAGGTTCTGCATGCGAAACTGGCTTTGCTTGATCAGGCGAATGGCCACGAGGTTGCAGTCGCCACGGGCGGTATGTTGACGAGGCAGTACCGATGCAGAGCAATTGCCAGGCCCACGTCGTGCCTTGACTGTGGCTCTAAGGTGGTGCCGCCCTTAGCTCACATTTTTTGGCATTGCTCGTCATACTCTGATTTGCGTCGGCTCCCGAAGCCGCGCTGCTTGCTGGGGCGTAGGCGTAGGCTGGATGGAGTCCCGGCCTGTTTTTGCAGGCTTCTAGGACCTAGGAAACTTCTGAGGCAGATGGGCCAGATACGAGCTCGCGAGTGTCTGAACCGCCACAACAGACACACCGACATGGACAAGACATGGCCAGCAGGTCCAGGCAACCACCGCAGCAGCAGCAAGCCCCAGCAGACCAACACGACTTCCACGACCGCCCACCACAAGACGACTCACCAGCAACACCGGTTCTGACCCCGCCAGAGGACGCCGACCACCACAGACAACCGGAGACACACGATGCAGCCACAGCGGAGCCTTCCCCAGACAGCCAGAACCGCGACACGGGGCCAACACCCCAAGCAGGCCGACCCGCCCAGGACGACAGAGATACACAGGCAACCCACGACGGTGGCTAGCACACAGCCGACGCACAACACGGGCAGTGGCCAACCAACCTCCACGAGCCGGCCCTCTCCAACCGAACCCCAACGCAGGCAGAAGACGACCACTCCCGCCGCTCCGGCCACTTCAGGGGCCGCCAACACAGCAACCAGCCGGTTCGTCAACACCACAAGAGCCCCAGCCTTTCAGACCCAGGCGCGGCTGGATGGGGCTGGAAGTCCGACCTCCACTCCCACCACCCAACCCGACTTTGAAACTTGCTGAACCGCCGCCCCACCCACCCACGGTGGCAGCAGCACTAGCAGCGTAGACCCGGGCTGGGAACTCCACGCCAACCACAGCCCAAGCGGGTCCTGCCACGCCATCAGCCACCGGCGACGCCACAGAAGCTCAACAAGGGGACACCCCCCCAGGGCCCCCCCACGCGGCGAACCAGCTGCAACCAACCAACCACGGCCGGCAAGCCAGCATGAACAACGCCGACTCAGTATCCCCGGACCCGGGCAGCCGAGACGACACGGGCCGCACCGCAGACGGAGACCCCAGCACCAAAGCGGGCACACAGGCCCGAGCCCCTACGACCGTCCCACACATCCACGGTAGCACCGATCCCCTCAGCAACCGCCGCTGCAAGGACAGAACCACCCCGACGCAGCCCAATACGAATCACCACCATGTTGGGACAGCCAATGGACCCAGCCGAGTCAACACCC